GTTTCGGTTTCGGTTTCGCCTTTGCGTCTAGTCCTCATGGGACAAGCAATCACAAGATACCCAGGAAGCCAAAGTACATCTTCCATGTACCCCGACACAGCGAGCGCAAAGTGCGCCATCAATCTCGACCCCGCAAGCCTCAAGTGCTGCCATCGCGCTCTGACATTGTTATCAAGGCCGAGGAATGCGAAGAGTACGTGCCAGACTACTTCCCACGCTTTCTCCAGCTTCCGCTCGAGATACGTGAGAAGGTCTATCGTTACGCAATGGACGGCCTCTCAACACGATACTTTGTCCAGGCGTACAAGGACATCTCGCCCCTGACCGTAGCGCCAGCTACACTCGCAAATATATGTTTTGCCAGCAAGGAATTACACAATGAGGGACTCGCTGTCTGGATCCGCCGCACACGCTTCACGGTCTTAAAAAGCAGCATAACGCATGTGGTTCCTCTGATGAATTTTCTCTCCGCTGTCGACGGCTTCAAACACGTGCGCATGCTCTGTTATGGCGATCTCCTCGCCTACGGCCTGAAACACCAGAGGGTGTACATAACCACGGGTGAAGATCTAGCTGCCAAGTGCACTGGACTCCGCAGTCTAATCTTCGAGTTGGACTATTTCTGGCTAACGGATTTTGCGCGTGCGCCAGCGCCGGTGAAGCTAGCTCCAAAGAAGGACGTAAAGAAGCGGTTGAGGCTTGAGCCAGTCTACCAGCTAACCAGTCTGAGGAAGCTGAAGATCGAGGTGGTTGTGCCCTGGTCCCGAGGAAAACGCTTTGAACAGCAGGGTGGATTGACGCGTTTGACAGAGATAGTCACCGAAGGCTTTGAAGCGGCAGGGAGAGGTGGGGCTGTAGAAGTGCAGCTTGAGATGGTAGCCAGGAGGCTGTTGGTTGGAACGTAGTGCTTGGGATAAACAGCTACTTGACTTCGTAGCGATAGATGAATATTCATGTATAATACTACAGTACTGAGACAGCGACAGAGCCTGTGCCGACAATCATAGGGGTATAGCCGACGACTAGGGAGAACGAGCGCGATATGGTAATGGTGAGTGCGATGGTTTTCGCCGTGAGGGCCCTGCATCGTCGCCGTCGGAACCTGAGCGTCTTCGCTCGCGCTTTCGATGTCGGTCGCGTCTGTCTCTGGAATCCTCGCTCCGGTCTCGAGTCCGTTCTGACCGGTGGCGACGATGTCTGTCCTCCGAGTCATCTCGTGGTTTTGACTTCCGATGTCTATGTTCGTCGCGTGGGCTCCTGTCGCGGCTCTTACTCCTCCGACGCGAGTGCTTGTCACGCCCATTGTCCTCTCCCGCTTCCTTGATCCTTCTTCTGTCCTTGCTCCTATCTCGGTCTCTCGACCTGTCTCTTCGACTATGCCTATCCTTGCGCTTTGCCCGCTCCTTTTCTTTGCGCTTCTGCTTCTTCAGCTTCTTGAGGGCATCGTCGACTTTCTCTTGTTGACGCTTGATCATGGAATCGCGCATCGGATCGTCCTCGTCGAGCTTCTCCATAAGCCGCCCTAGTTCGATCTCCTCTGGTAGTAGTGGTCGGTCGTCGTCCGAGTCGCTTTCGCTTTCCGTCTTTCTCCGCTTCCTTCTGCCGCCATCGGACTCATTGCCCGCGTCGAGGTCGACGTCCCCCATGGTATTGTCCCTCATATCTTCGTCGTCCTTAGGCTTGTACCGCGCATGGTCGACCCTGATGACTCGGTCCATAATGGTTGCTCCACCTAGGTTGTCCACAGCCAGGTCGCAGCTCCTCTGGTCTTCGTACTTGATCCAGGCAAAGCCTCGTGACTTTCCCGTCTCCTTGTCGCGCGCAAGCTTGACCCATACCGGCTCGCCATACTGGGAGAATATCGTGATGATGTCACCCTCCGATAGTTCGAAGGGTAGGCCGCCGATGTTAATGAAGGCTGTGTCGCGGTAGTCGGTATGCCATGAACCTTCTGGGTTAATGCCCGCTTCGAGCTCGCGCTTGTTGAGCTGCTGGATCGCGCGCACCGAGTTCATCGTGGGCGTGGTGTGTACGTGGTGGTGAGGTGAGAGAAGTGAGGAAGGCGCGTTTGGCGGGTGGGTTGGGCGTCGCTTCCTGATCCACTAGCGCTGTGATGGCTGTTCAGACATGGATCGTGGGTCTTCGAATCCCTCTTGTATGTCGCTGCGACTCGGAAAAATGTTGGCGCAGTATTCTAGACGTCGTGTCGGAGGGCAGGCAAGTCCGCTGGAACTTTTGAAGCTCGGGCTTGGCCAGCAGCCGCATCCCTGCAGAAAAGGTACCAGCGAACATGCGGCCAAACAAGCACACCGCAACCCCACTAGACATTCACTCCGTGCCGCCTTAGCCTGTCCGCATCCGTCGCATCCTTTGTGTACATCATCTTCACAGCATCGCTCAGCCAGGAAGGTAACATTTCGCCAGCGACCAGCTCCGCAGCACCTCCGCAATGGCGAGCGCGCGTCGGACCTCCAACTTCCCCACACGCGTTCCGGGGAGCCACGACCGGCCGGGCAGCAGAGATACGGACAAAGAGGAAATATGGAAGCCCATGCTCGACAACATCTCGAGTGGAAAGCGACTGCCGGAAAAGAGTCTACTCGTCCTGGGTGAGGGCCACGACACGCAGAATAGGGGATCCAGCTAATACTCGATCCCAGGCGGAACACCAGAGACGCAGCGAGAGTTTCTTGAATCAGTATCCACAGACTCTGCAAACAATAGGCGACCGCCAGATCGGGGCAGGAAGCCGCCCATCGCCAATCAATTCGCCCTGGGCTACACGTACCAAGATGTACTGGACACGGATCACGAGGGTGTGTAGTGGCACTGGTTATAACAACATACATCGCTAACAAAGCTAGATACTCTTGCGCGCCTCTCGCTCTACCTCCTCGCCAATCCATCGCCGTCGTTCACGCCCTTGATCAAGCCGTACCTCAACCCACGAACCCTCCCGCACATGCTTATCGTCATACTCCTGGACTGGAACCACCCATGGCTGTGGATACGACAACTGCGCGACTGGATCAGAGTACTGCGATCGCTTATCGTCTCGCTCGATGACAACTCCAAGGTAGTTCTGGAGGAGAACATCCAAACCCTACAAGACAAGGGTCGCAACCTCCCATCCGAAGGTAGCAGCATGGAGAACGTGAAGATACCACTTGGCCCGGGAGAATGGGATGAGCCGCTCGGCATACCGCTATGTGTGGTATGCCAGAACGCAGACAAGATCGAGACCCTTGAGAAGGAGCGGGGCTGGAAAGAGGAGGAATTTGACTTCATACTCCAGTACATGCGCACCATTCTTCTCAAGCACGGCTCAAGCTTGGTATACACAATGCCCACGGCGCCGGGATCTTTGCGAACGCTCATTCACTCCACACTCGGCATCAAGTCCCTGCTGAAACAAGAGCAACTTAGGCACAATGTGACGGATCGCGATCGCGTACTGGTTCCACCCAACTGGGACTCATGGGCGAAAATTCGTATATTACGAGAAGGCTTCGATGTGGAGGGCATCAGCGAGAAATGGAGTGTTGACATCGACATTCCCCAGCACATGCGGCCGACCAACGGCCAAGTACCTGCACCCGTCGACGGAGAAGCTCAACCGAACGGCGAAGAGACACAGGTCGCGCCAGCGGAAGAGGAAGAGGAGGGCCCGTCGGCGACCTCAATCTACGAAGAGACGATTCGCAACCCCGAGTCAGACTACGCACTTTCCAGCTTGTCGAAACAAGCCAACGGGCTCGAAGTATCAAGCAAAGATCCACAGGCCTTCCTCGCCGATCAAGTCAACGTTCTTGAGAATCTGCGGCGGGAGGATGAGAACGAAGCTGCCATGAAGGCTGCGCGCAAAGAGCAAGATCCGTCAATCTCTAGGACTTATACCGACGACGCATCGGGAGTAGTTGAAGAGCATATTGGACCTGTACAATTCAACATGGGTGGAATTCAAGTCAACGCCGATGAAATGGTAAAGAGGCTACAGGTACGTCAAGCACAAGTCCATCTCTCCCGAGGAGATCATGAACATATACTAACCTCACCGCAGGACCGTCAAGCCAACCGATCAGACGAGCCTGAGACACCACCTCCGAAAACACAGGATACCAACATCAACGACAACGAGAAGCTGAGATCCTTCTTCTCCAGTTTGGTCAACAAGGCGCCCTCGGGCAGTCCAAGGGGCGGTTCGTAGTCTGGGTCTTGTTTCTTTACAGGCATTTTCCACTTTCTCAGGCATATGCATTCCGTACAACTTTATTCGACGCTCGCGATAGCAAAGGCTTTTTTACAGGTTCACGGTCGTCATTAGCATGGCTTTATACCCACAGTGTATTTCCGTACCCAATACAAGCTTTCACATTATAGATTGCCATTCCTAGACCACGTATCCTAAGTTCTGTTACTGTATGTGCTACTGATATCTTGATAATCTACGTGGTCCTTGTACACCGTATTCCAGTCGAATTTTCACACGTTTTCATGGCGTGAGACGCGCATCGTGTTCTTGAAGTATGAAATCCACAGTCATGCCAGCACACTCATCATCGATACATTCACCTCATCCGCCATCCTTTCTATTCCCTTTATCTAAACCATTCTCCTAGGCAAAGATTTTGAACCTCCTGACAAACATAACATTCAACTACTAACCACACACCAACCCACGCTCGCACCATCTCCTGTCATGACAGGCCGAGGCGTCCGTTGGGCCGAATACCGACGCCCAGATCGCATCACAGCAGATAACCTCGCTCAAGTGCTTCACGGGCACTTCAACTGGGGACATTGGAGGCATATGGGCAATCCACCGGGTATGCAGGTGTATTGGAATGAGAGAAGAGGGCAGTGGGGAAATGCTACTGGTCGGTATCGCTGAATTGCGAGATGCTCGGGGGTGCGTGTGTGTATGAGGAGACATGTAGGTTGATATGCTCATAGTGTATCATATTCACATGAAATTAATCATGCACAACCCCAACACCCACCTACCTCTCCAACAACCACCTCACCCCCTCCAACGTGTCCTTGCTAAACTCCCTACTCTCCTCCAACTCCGGATAATTCGTCCAAAACATATGTCCGAACCCCTTGTACAGGTCAAACCGCGTCAACACCCCACTCTCCCTCAGTTTCCTGTCATAAAGCACCGCCTCATCCCTCAACGGATCCAGCCCGCTAACCTGGAAGAACGCTTTTGCAACCCCCTTATGCCCATCTGGATGGTTGAACGGGTCCCAAAGCGGGGACTTTTCCTGGGGTTCGTAGATAGATTCGATGAATCCTGGTGCCATGTCTTTGAGGACAGGGTCGGAAGTATTGTCTGAACGGGATTGGTAGAGGGGAAGTAGGTGGGTAGGAACGTTTGTGTGAGGGAGGAGGGCGGGGACGCAGAGGTATTGGCCTGTAATGGGCGGGTTTAAAGCTGTGTCTCGGGCGAGAAGGGCAAGGACGGCGGCGATATTGCCGCCGGCTGAGGCGCCACCTACGAGGAGGCCGCGGGTGGGTGTTGCGTTGAGTACGTCGCTGTTTTTGATAGCCCAGAGGAGGGCGTCGTGGCAGTCGTGGATGCCGATTGGGAATTTGTGCTCGGGTGCTAGACTGTGGTGGTACGTGAGTAAATGTGTCTTGGGAAAGGAAGTTGAAGTATACGAAGACGCAACGATAACGTAAAGAATCAAAGAAAACCTGGGATACAAACGACGGGATCGTCTTACCGATACTCAACATTAACACAAACAGCACCCAACTCCCTCGTAAACATCCGACAATTCATATCTTCATCCGTTAAATCACCCATACTCCAGCCTCCTTCGTGGTACATCATGATCAGCGGGCTGCCATCCTCCGGCGGACCAGCAACAGGCTGGTACACTTTGACGCGGATGGAAGCTCCATCTCGGGTGGGCACATCGTGGAGGCTTTCTGTCACGTGCTCTGGGATGGGACCGGGGATGGGGTAGAGATGGCGGAGCTGCGAGAGGTGGGCTGCGCGGGAGGCGCGGTGGGCGAAGAAGTCTGGGCCTGTTGTTTGGAATGGGCGTGCTGTGAAGGCCTGTGGTTGGTGTGTGAGTTGAGAATTGGTTGTTCAGGAGTAGGTGGGACGGTGGAGGAGAAGGCGATGATGTGTTATCGCAAGTGTCTCATGAAACTACTGTACCTTTCTGTATATTTCGGATACCTCACCCGACTCAAGGACTTCTTCTCGTGTTAGATGGGCCATGTTTCGTACGACGATTTGGAAGATATGGAGATGGCAAAGTAACTAGGATATCGAGATGGGTTACAGGCGGCTTTATAATATACGCTTGCCATCCTACGACGTTGATGCATACCACGTGTACGTTTACGTCATTCCTTAACAGTTTACTCCTATCTCAACTCACATCCCTGAGAGCGATGCTTGTCTTAAGACCATCCGTAGCCAGAGTCAGCTTACTTCAATTGAGTATGCGCTGGTGATATCGCTCAATTATATGAAAGGTATACTGCAAGATTATGTAACACATCAAAAGAAATATGAACAGCTGAGTACTACAACCCCAACACAAATCACCGAAGATTGTGTGCAAACTGCGGACAGTACCACACATTTCCACCAATCAACCCCCCTCCTACTCCTTATCAACAAGAACAGTGCTATCCTCGACCCTCTTCTCCTCACCCGCCAAACTAGGCTGAACAACCTGCCTGCCCTTCCACCCCGCCATAAGCTTACCCAGCCTCTTCCTCAGCCCATACTGCATCCAGTACGGCCAAGTCCTTATCGCCGGAATGAACAGCCCGCTAGTCTCCGGTAGCACAACATGCTGACTCTTGCCACTCAACACCGCCTTGACAATGCTCTCCGCGACGGTCTCCGGGTACAGAACGCCCTTTGAATCGAAGCCCTCGAACAGCGCCGTGCGGGTGTAACTCTGGGCCATGAGCACAGTCCTTATCTTGGGTGCGTTGTAGCGGGCGGTGAGTTCGGCGGCGAGGCCTTCGTGGAAGGAGAGGGCGGCGGCTTTGGAGGACGCGTAGTCGACCATGGAGGGCGCGGAGAGGTAGCCGGCTACGGAGGCGACGGTCACGATCATGCCGTGGTTGGCGGCGATCATGGCGGGCAGGAACTGCTGGGTTAGGTAGTAGTGGCTGAAGGCGTTGACCTTGAAGGTCAGGTTGATGTCCTTCTCTGTCGACTCGAGGATGGTCTTGCCGCGTGCGACTCCGGCGTTGTTGATCAGGACCGTGGGGTTACCGAGTGTGGAGCGGATGGATGAGGCGGCGGAGGCGATGGCCTCGGGGTCGGTAAGATCGCATTTGAAGAAGCGGACGGATGATGGGGCTGGTGAGTGTCAGTATATCTTGCAAGCAATTGACGCTCAATTGCAGACATACCCTCATACGTCAAGTCCTGAACATCCAGGACGGCGACCTTGATACCCTTCTCGGCGAGCAACTGCACCACGATCTTGCCAATGCCATCGCTGCCTCCGGTTACAACGACGACCTCGCGACTCCAGACGTAGGCGTCGCCGCTCCAGTTGTTGGTCACGCCGCTGTTGAGCCAGGCGTTGACGGTGCTCAGCGCACCCAAGCCCAGCAGCGTCTTCAAGCCCTTGAATGCTGTGGCATGGTCTTCGGCAAGGGCGTTGCCTTGGTGCGTGTAGCGCGCAAGGAGGATGAGGGGCAGCGTGAGGGCAGGATTGAAGGCCGTGTACCTAATGAGGCGGCTTATGGTATCGCCAGTCACGCCTGTTCACGTGGTTAGAAGAGCGTTCTACGCGATACTATTGCCATTGTGATGGTTGGGGGCGGCAATGGCTCGGTGCTTACCTTCGCGCGCAAGGGTCCAGTCGCTTCGAATCGGCATCGCGACGGTGTCCTGGGTGGTTGGATGTCGGAAAGAGTGGTCGGAGTAGCGCGTGGAAAGCCGCAACTAGCAGCAACGGATAGCGTTTACATTTCGCGCGTCGCGACTCTTTAAACGGACCGGCTGTGGTACTCCTTCGTCGTGCAGCTGTGCCACGCCCACCAGGGAGAGAGCGGGGTCGCCCCAAAACGAGGCTGGCGCAATCCTGATAGAGCCCACAACCGAGGATCTGGCGCTGTCTATCGCGATTTCCCTGTCGCCATGTGCAAATGAGATTTGCCAAGAGATCCGAAGGGATTCAGGGATTGAAAGGGATTCGTGTGAAGATCGTAAAATGATTATTGTTTACAGCGTTCGTGCTGTCGTGACTAATATACAATCGTGCTAAACGCGCTCCAAGTGATGCTATGTAAATACTGCTAATACTAAAACAAAGGAAATCTCGTAAAGTGGTAAAATGATATCCCAAACGCCAAACACAAAACCCGCCCACGCTATCAAGGTAAAATAAGAAAAAAATCGTAATCCAAACGGCCGTCCATCTAGATCATGTTGCTGCCAGGTTGCTCGTAGTCCATGATCGTGCTCTCAGGGGGCGCGACGCTCGTTACCCGACTGATACGGCTTGCTCGTGAGTCGGGACGATTGATCGACATCGCTCCACTCATGACCCTCACTACCTTCCTGCTCTTGGTTCCGGCGACCAGGACCTGGGCTGGGCAGACGACAATCTCGTCCTCGCCTTCGCCGAAGTCATCGCCCTTCTTGACCACTAGGGGGAACAGTACAATCTTGACCACCGATCCACGGGCTTGAAGTTCGTCGTTCGACGTCGTCTCGCCTGACCGTTCATTCATCAGAGAGGCGTTGAAAGTAACCTTGGCGACGAGATCGCCCTTGGTATCGTACTCGGGTTGTAGCGGGGGCAGCATGATGTATTCTGCGCGTTGCGTGCGCATCTCAATTGATAGCTCCACTGCCAAGCGCATCACGTTGCGCAACGACTCCTGGATCTGGCGCTGCAGATGCGATGGTGGGGGAAGAAGTGTCGAGAGTGTGCTGTAGATCTCGTGCACCACAGCTTCAGTGTCCTGAGCGCGCTGCTGCATGAAAGGCTCTCTTCTCGCAAGAAGGGTAAGTGTAATAGCTCGCCATTGTGCCACAGCGCGTGGTGGGCCGACTTCTGAAAGTGTCTTCTCCAGCGCCTTAAGTTTCTGGCGCTGTTCTCGGTCCATACCGAATAGGTACCTGGTGAAGACGTACTCCCAGATCATGGTCATAACCACTGACATGAAGACATCTCGGCGCTTGACACGATCCGCTAGGAGTGAATCGACATCTGAGCCATCGAGAATGGCATTGTCAAGGCGAGTGTCGATCTTCTGACGCGTTGATGCATCCAGTCGTGTATCAGCTGCGACCTCTGATGAAAGGCGGCATGCGCGAGTGTCAGAGAACTTGGAGAAGCGCAGCACCCACTGCTGGACATGTTGACACAGTTGTTGACAGGCGCTGTCAAAGTAGTCCTCATCGCGAACTGTGAGGAAGCTCTCACTAGGCTTCTTCGAAGCCAAGATCTGCTTTTGAAGGTTCTTGATCTGTTCGCGTGCAGTCGCAAGCTCTGCGGTTAGACGGTCGATTTCGGCATTGCGCTCATCGAGTGCTTCGCCAACTTCATCGCGGACGGCATCTGCGAGACCTCGCTGCATCTGGGTATGCTGGCGGCGAAGTTCCTCCAAGTCTCGTTGTGATGTTTGCCATTGCTGTTGCATGGCCTGGCCTTCAGCCTGAAGCTGAGCGTATTGACTGCGAAGGCTCTCTAGCTCTCGTTGTGATGCCTGCCATTGCTCATGCACCATCTGTCCCTCAGACTGGAGTTGACCATATCGTTCATTGGCATCGTTGGTCAGGTTGCGATTGGCGTCTGTTAGTGCGTTGTTGAGTTGATTCAGGCGCGCAATCTCTTCTTGTAGTCGCTGAAGCGTATCTTTGAGTTGCGCAATGTCGATATCCCTTTGGTGAATCTGACGGTCACGTGCTTCTACTTCTTCAAGTACCAGTTGCTCGTCAACTTGGCGCTGATGTTGTGCAGCTTGCAAAGCCTCCTCAGCCTTGGCTTTGGCGGTCTCGACAGCTGAGTTTTGCGCAGCTAGCTGGTCAAGTTGCGTCTGCAGGTCCATAATTTGCATGCTTTGACGTTTGCGCACGCTTGGTGGACGTGAGGGCGAGCTAGGCGACCTTTGGGCTTCACCCCATGCTTCCTGCAAAACACAGTCAGTAAACAGAAGCGACGTGCGCAACAACTGCGAACTACTTACAAAGGTTTCGGCCATACTGGTACGGCGACCTCTACCTGTACCCCGGACTGGGTCGTAAACCGGTGGGGCGGCGATACCTGCGATGGCTGCTGCTCCAGCCGCGAGTGCCGTGCTGGAGAGATTGGGTTGCGCGCTCTTAGCGTCTTGCGCACTGGCCTCGCCAAGCCTCGAGGCTGATCTGAGGTCACCTGACGTTTGCCGGTCCACTCTTCTCAACGACCGATCCGAACGCGTGCTGATGTTGCTCATAGAGCTCATAGGACGTTCCTGATCCGGAGACCTGAGTCTCGCGATGTTGCTCAGAGAACGCTGACTTTGAACACTGGGCGACCGCTGCTCAGCAATGTACTGCTTCAACGGGTCGGCGCTCGGAGAGGAGCGAGGCATGCGGCGCGCAGGGCTGAGGGTCATGGTTCGGTCAACGCTGTCGTTGACCTGTGACCATGGTGAGTCTCTTCCACCTGAGTTTTCTGCCATGGATGCCACACTTCGACGGCCCGTAGGTGTTGGCGTGCTGGGCGGAGGTGATCTCAGGCGATCAGAAAGTTGCCTAAGACTTTCGGTGCGACGAGCTGACTTGAGTCCTCGCTCTGGCGCGCCGACATCAGCTATGGATCGTGACTTCTTGTGCTTGGTGTCATCCGGGCTGACTTCTTCGATGGACTCGAGTTGCTTGGTGCCTGGCGTGCGTTCGGACTTTGTGACAGGCGTGGAAAGGGCCTCACCCTTCTTCTCATTTGGATCTCCAAACAAGGATTGATATGGTTCCTTCTGTGCAATCTGCTTCGCAGGCGATGTCCGACCGTGCTGCGACTCCGTGCGTGGTTTCTTGCCTTTGTCTTTTGACGGAGTATCATCAACTCTCTGAGTATCATGAGCGGGTGTTTGTGGCCCAACTGCTGGTGAAGTGCCGTAGGCGCGGGTTGATGGCGAGGGATCGAAAAGATACGAGGTTCGCTCCTTCGTCGCAAAGTCAGTGCCTGGGGTTGTCGCGCCGGAGATGACCGGGTGTGTTGGCAAAGCAGGGCTGTCTTCGGCATCTTGGTCAGTTGCAGTTGAGCGTTTTGATGCACTCAAAGGAGTCTTCGGTTCCTTCGACCGCCTCAGCGTACGTGTTGCCTTCTCGACTGGCTGTGCTGACTGTGCAGTGGCGGGCTCCTGACGGCTGTCGTCTCGAACTTCGGCGAATGACCATGATGGCTCGTTGGCTGGTGCTGCACCATGCGTTGATGATTTGGCTTCTTTGGAGCGCCTGTCGGAGTGTGAGCGTTCTGATGCGACAGCATGCGCTGGTGATGCTGTTCTCTCAGTGGCGAATTGAGGCTCTTGAGTGGACTCCAACGTATGTAGGCGCTTCTCGTCCGGCTGCTCATCGTCAAAGGATACAGGATGTGTCCTGCGCTTGTGGACTTCGGGAACAGCAGCTGGCGTCTCGGCTAGTGGTGTGTCCCTCGACGCGGTGCTCGACTCTCCCTCAACCCTCTCTTCAGTTTTCCTGCTCTTTTTGCTCTTCTTTTTTGGCGATGGAGCCCATGCATCCATATCCCTCTCTTTCTCCAACTCTCGCCTGCGCGTCTCCTCCTTCTTCCTCTCGATCTCCTTCTCTTGCGTCACCTGTGGAAATGGATATTCCCTCGGCTCTCCAGCGGTCAGTGAACGGGCTTCCTGGTCGAAAGTCACGGGCAGTACGGGCGAATCCTCAGTAGCTGCAGGTTTGGCGTCCTTCCCTGACTTCTTGGGCCTCTCCTTCCTCGACATCGTGTCTTGTCTGTTTGGATCTTCCTCCTTGACGTCGATAGACTTGGCTTCCAAACCTGTTGTTTGCGTTGGCACCTCCGGAAGGACATCGGTGGAGGTTGGCGCGCGAGGCACGGACTGAGCAGGCTCACTTCCGCGGACTGTGGAGTCAGCTGGAGTCTCAACAGCGAGAGGCACATCTCGATGAGCCTCGATCGCCGGAGTCTCTGAAGCTGCATACTCAACACGGTCTTGCAGACGTGGAGCTCCTTCTTCGCCCTTCTTTGACTTCTTGCCTCGAACAATCGGTGCAACTGAAGCGTCTGCTTGTTCGCGAGTGTGTTCAGATTCCACTGGAGTTTCTGGTATCGGATGACGCTTCTTCTTGCTCTTGTTCCTTCTTAGACTTGACGACCCGGCCAACTCATCAGGGTCAGCTTCTTCAAGAACACCAGGAGGCGACTTTCGCGTAGCAAAAGCGGGGTCGTTGAGCACATCCAGTGGGTCGAACGATGCAGTGTCAGTCGTTGCCATTGCTACTTCGATGGGTGGCAGAACATCGGGTCCGCTAGGCTGGAGTGGTCGTAGTTTTGGCGAGCCGGAGACCGATGATGAGCGACTCAAACTACCGAGTCGTGATCTGCCGGCTCTTTCCTTTGCAGCGGCAATATCATCATCAGGCGTAATATCGCGAGCTCCTGATATGGAGTTCGAGCGATGGAAAGCTCTGTCATTGATGACGTATCCAGGATCAAAACCAGACTCTTGCAAACTGGCGGCGACAGTAGCTGCGAAGTCTATGTCTCTTGCGGGTGACTTCGAATCTGATCGCACTGGTGATGCCAAGCCAAGTTGGCTACGAGATGCAACTCGAGAATGGAGCTGATGCTTCTCAGGCGATGGAGATCGAGACAGGTAACGCTTCTCGGGAGACGGAGGTAGAAT